TTTATTTATTTATTTATTTATTTATTTATTTATTTATTTATTTATTTATTTATTTATTTATTTATTTATTTATTTATTTATTTATTTATTTATTTATTTATTTATTTATTTATTTATTTATTTATTTATTTATTTATATTTATTTATTATCCCTCTCTTGTTCTGGGCCCTCAACAGGCTTGTCACTCGCATAATGCTTTTTAGAGGTGCATCTGCAGAAGTTCTTATGTTGTTCTATACTACTCCGGTATTTACCTTACGAATTAACTAATACCTACGCTAAAGTGTTACGGAAGTGGTTCCTCTATTGGGGATCGATCCTTGATATATAATCTCGTTTATGGCCCGTTGAGTCATTTCACAGCAAATGGCCGCTCGTTATCAGCAGGTAGAAGACATGTCAAACGCTTCGGCACTCGTAGGCAAATGATGTGCTTAATCGAAGGTTACCCAAATTCATCTGTCGAACTAAAAATCGTATGTACGGTGACGTATCTGAAATTATACTGGTCCTGACCAGAACTAAAAATTCGAGCCCGAACTTGAACTAAAATTAAAACCCTAAAAGAAATCAAAGGTAACCCTCCTTCGTTGATGTCCTAAAAGTGTACCGGGTGACCCAATAAGACTGTTCCTCGGCCATATCTCGGGAACCGTTCGTCGCATGACTTGGGGTAAAAAAATTAATGGGTAAATCGGTTATGAAGAATCGCTGGAAAATATTTTCAAGTTCTAAAAATGACCACCAGAGGGCGTAACTGCGATCTTAAATTTTAAAATTGAATTTTCTTTAAATTTCGCATAATGAACTAAACATTCTTTTTTCATATTTTTAAAGAGAACCAGTTTATCTATCATTTTCGTAAAAATAAAAACTCAGTGATTTCAAAAACAAAGATGGCGTGGGGCGTTCAATTGTCTTTGCAATAACCTGCCTTAACTTCTTAACCTTTTGACCGATTGTAACAAATTTGATATCGTTGAAAAGAGCATTATTGCAAAAACAATTGAACGCCCCACACCATCTTTGTTTTTGAAATCACTTTTTTGTTTTTACGAAAATGATAGATAAACTGGTTCTCTTTAAAAATGTGAAACAATTTTTTTTAGTTTATTATGCGAAATTTAAAGAAAATGCAATTTTAAAATTTAAGATTGCACTTACGCCCGCTGTTGGTCATTGTTAGAACTTGAAAATATTTTCCAGCGATTCTTCATGACCGATTTACCCAATAATTTTTTTTACCCCTAAGTCATACGACGAACGGTTCCCGAGATATGGCCGAGGAACAGTCTTATTGAGTCACCCGGTACATACCAATTGTCGATGGAAAATTGTAGTACACAAATATCAGCCGAACCTATAGAAAGGTACACTATAACTACACGAGATGCAAATGGCGTTACTTACGATAAGGAAGAATAAAACGCAATTAAAATCCTCACTATAGGAGTTATAGGTGAATCCGTCCTAATTACTGTGGAATCCCCAATTTAATGAATCCAATCTCCAGAGGTAAATAAATATGCATGATGGCAATTAAAATTCAATGCATTCTAACTTACGCTCTCAGCTGTTTGTGTATAAGAAAGTGTAACTCGATACGGTTCTCGACAGAAAGAGGAAAGTAAATAAACCGTCAGCAATAGTAATGCTTTGTAATCGAGAAAATAAATCGTTACAAGCTAAGAAACATGTTTGAGGTTGGTTCATAAACTCATTTCGAAAGAATTATCTTGTTGGCGCACTACTATACAGAGAGTTCTTAACTGAACTATTAAAGATAAAACAATTGAGCCAATTACGCCTTAGCTCAAGTTACTCTTTCGAAGGTACACTCCTTCACAAGTTAAAAAGAAAACAGACTGTTGCGATCCTTCTAGAACGTTATCGAGGAGCCTTTAAGTCTATTAGTCACCGGAGATAAGGCCCGCGTGGCGCAGTTCAGTTGAAGCTGGACTGCGATACAAGGAGTCCCTGGTGCGAATCCGGGTGCGGGCATGGATATTTGTAAATGCATAGTGGGTTGGGTTGGTAGAGGAGCCTTGACTAAAACCCCGCCCAATCAAAAATAAAGGCATAAATAAATAAATAAATAGATAAAAAATAAATAAAAGCAGATGCGTTACGTTACAGTACATTCATAATTTTCATATTTGGTACTGTTATAATTTCTCTTTAATTATAATTATGATCCAATAGCCAATTAGATTTAACTCCGGCGTGGGCCAAGTTTCCACAAATTCAGCAAAAAGCACGGTACTGAGCATGCTTGATAACCATGACTGCAAAATCCCCGTCATTGCGTCACGTCCACCAACTTCCTGGCGCTTTCAGCTTTTACACGCATTCACAAAGTCACGACTGTATCCAGGAATCACTACCACTACCACATATAAAATTTAAAAAAATTCCGACAATCTTACTAGTAATTTTGATTTTATTTTCGTAGGATATCTACAAATTAATGTTAGTATCTTGCAAATTGAGCCGAAGGTTAATTCGTCACACAAAATTGTTTTTATCCTATACAAGGAGAAACTTACATTTTCTCGCCTGTGTGAGGACGCGAAAGAAGACAATTGCACGCATGGAGCGAGAAAATTCAATTTTGTCTGCTAGGCGAGAAAAAAATACGCCTTATGTAAGCTAGATGGCGCGGTTGTAATAAAATGTCAAAGAAGTTATTTCTTTTTAATTAAATAAGAAACATAAAATCGTCAACACTGATTTAATAATTAAATTTACCCTATGTTCACTTTATTTTACTGAATTCAAGAATTTATTTAATTACCGCGAACCTATACCTATCAATGTTTCGTGAATTTGAATACTTTCCCAATATCACGTGACCAATTCAAACGTTTCAAACTGAAGTCATAATCTCCCATTTACTTTCAATAACGAGCATCTGTGTCAATACATTTAACACCAAGACGTACTTTGCACTGTAAGTAGAACACCGCTTATCCGCAATAAGTAGCATTTTAACATACGAGACTACTCCGAAGTTAAAATGTGTCCAGTGTGACTGTAAGGAATGAATAAATCTATTTATTAAACACATTTTTTTAAAATACAAGATCATCAAGGATTTAAAGTGTGCCCATTGCGCTTTCGTCGCCAAGCATAAATCCAGTCTTAAAAGCATCTAACATTTGACAAGACATGGATACTGCGAAGGATTTAAAATGTAACCGGTGTGATTTTGTCCCTGAAAACACACATTCAATTTTAAAACACATTTGTTAATACACAAGACCAGTAATAATTTCAAATGCGCCTGGTATTAATTACAACCCCTTAAATCCCGTTATTTTCTAAGGAAATAATCACGCGCCAGTGAAATGCCGGAAATGTCAACTCAGTTCGCACATGATCGGTATTCTCCACTTGCACCTCTGCTCTGTTGCACCGTGACTCCCTTCGGTGACTCCGCACTGTGCAATCGCAAGCGCGCTAGAATTTGAATTTGCGTTGAACTGTATTATAAGGGAAAGGGGTAAATCTACGAGTAAAAAATATACTCGTGGACCCACTTAGATTGCACCGTTTCGTAAAATTTTTTTCGCGTAGTCAGCAGGAAACGTGGAAATAAACAAAACAAACGCGTGCACGTTGACGCGTTAAAGCAAATCCAAATTCAAGCGCTTGCGGTCGGACGTTGTTGAGGGATTAATTTTAAATGTAAGTGTATAGGATAAAAAATATTGTGTGCACCACGGCACGAAAGTTGTTTTCCGGGCCTCAGGAAGTGGCCAGCCTCGGCTGCGCCTCGCCTGGCCATATCTTCCTTCGCCCCGGAAAACAACCACTTTCCCGCCTTGGTACACAAAGTACTATTAAACCATCCTTTCCAAGAGAGTGGACCTAATTCTCTCTCTACTTGAAAAATTGAAATCGTCGCACTTCTGCTTCAAGTCACTTAAAATGTAAATAGTTCAAAATATTTGCAAAATTACGAAAATTCCAAAAAATGTATTACACAACTTTTGGTTAACACCTGAAATAAATTTTGGGCACGAATGAAAAAATCTGAGATCAAAACTATGGATACGAATAAACACACAATTCATTGATTGACAATGACAAAAATTTATCCCGAAACACAATGAAACAAAATAAAACAAAATACCCGAAAGAAAGGAAAGCTTACAAAGCTTGTTTGGACATATTACTCCGCACACAGACGGTGGTCAAATAAAATAAGAAGTTTAAAATTACTTACATTTTTTTGCTTCATAACCCAACTGGTTGCACAAGGTTTGCGAAATTCACGCTAGAATTAGATGACAAACAAAACTGGGTTGAAGAATAAAATTAAAAAATTTTAGGTGGCTGCTCGGACGCTAGAAACTTTTAACTTTTAATAATCAGGGAACCTTAACTACACTGCTCACTCGACAAACTTTTTTTTACGTAGACGGAAAACACACAACTTTGCTTAACTTGCTGCTGTGACCATTTCGGAAAAAAAAATTATTTGCGCAAAATCATCCGCTTCAAACGCGCGACGGATTACAAGATGAAACTCAATAAGTCACATTGTTCGTATTTATCGTAATATTTTCTAATTCGCAAGTTATCCCCCGATTATGAAAGCCACCGAAACTGTTTGTTTACAGGTCCTTAAACTTCGCTACCGTGGTCGTACGCAATTTCTACGTAAATATCGCACGCTCTTTGCGCTAAGTTAGAGGTAGTTTAATACTTAACCCTGTCTCACTTCCAGGCGCGAAATATCCCACGGTATTTTACAGGTCGTACACTTATCTTTACTCGCCATTCAATGCCAATTTCGCACAAAACAAAATCCACCCGGCAGTAATTCACAGGTGGTTGACCCAAGTTCGCCCACGATTTTTTCCAGAACAACCAACGTATCACAACTTTGCATCTGCCGTAACGCAAACCTAACCTTTTTCCGCCAATAAATAATGTTAAGTAACTAATCTTGAGTTTTTAAACGCATTGTCTGTAGAATGTTTTTTATTTGCAGATACTAGTTACTCCTACCATCCGGCAATTCACGATGACACCTTCGTTAGGAGAAAACAAAGAAGGAATAGGACAACGTTTACACTACAACAGGTGAGTGGAACACATACAGGATGGGCCCATACCGAGTGTACTATTTGTTACAGTTGGAGGAATTGGAAAACGCATTTGCTCAAACCCATTACCCGGACGTATTTACCAGAGAAGACTTAGCGATGAAAATTAATTTAACGGAAGCGCGTGTACAGGTAAGATAGTATATCATTTTCGAAATTGGGTTCGACAAAAGCTCGAAATTCAATTCCGACAAGACTAATGATCGGGTAAAGCCTTAATATATGAAGTGAATGTAAATAAATATCTTACAGGCAGTAATCATCAGTTTCAATAAAAAGGAAAGTCCCTTTTCAGCGAAGCTAATGCCGTCGGAATCGCGGCGCGAACTCAGTTACACGTGGCTTACTTCAAATCAGACTTTATCCTCTGTTATTGCGAACATGTCACCTTCAATAAGGGCCCGAGTAACTTCGAAAATCCCATTCTTTTTAGTAAATATCTTCAGATTCAGTTGCCAGAACTCGTTATGGGGCCAATTCGATTATTTCTCAGGTGACGCCCCACCCCGCCAAATACGTTTATTTGCACAATAACGAAATTTAAGATAAGAAGAGAGAGGTAAAGTGGCGATGACAGATGTCAATAATCTCGAAACACGTTCCGAAGAGGCATTAGCGATAAAGTAGTTTCCGGCGGAGGCTTAAAACTTATTTTCATCCGCGCGCGGCCATATTCCCTCCAAGGATTTATGATCTTTATTACTAATCTTGGCGATCGTAATCAGCTTGAAAAATTACCAATTACCGCGCGCTTTTGCGGATGAGAATAAATGAAGGTTGTACGACTGCTGGTTAAGGACCACTGCAAACCCTATGAAAATATGCAGGCGGGCATATTTAGTTTCCAATTTCCTGCTGCTCGTTTTACATGTTGCAGATTAAATGTACTTAATACTTTAATTATTTTACATTGTATCCAACAGAAAACGCAACGGGCTCATTGAATTATGAAGTGGCAGTATAAAAGGCCGGAGCTTCATAATTTACCATGGAATTTTAAGTCGCAACACTTTATTATTATTATCAAATATTGTACAGCTTCAATGCCAAATATGAGCTGTTAAAAATAAACGAATTGATCGATTAACAAGCCATAATTATTGCGTATTAGTAACGAAACGCTAACAAATTAACTTAACGTTTATATCTGCTGATGAATTCGTCAATTGAGTAAAACGCATTATTTAATCAATGGGATTTAATCGGCATCGTCAATTGATTTTGATCGACAAGTTTTAATTCTGCCGATATTTAATTTTCTATTATAGTAGAAGGCCATCGTTTCAAAATTCCACAGAGATGACGAACCAAAAAGGGCTTCTATTCTGAAGATATTTTCGGTTCCTCGTTGACGTTTCACTTCATTTTCACCCTCCCTGTGTAAAACTGAGAAGGAATGTAACAAAGGAATTAATCAATGAAATACATTTAAATTATAAATTCTTAAGGAGAAGGCGTCTACAATCACAACACGTTCCAAATTGAATCGACTCGACCAACTCATTACTGACATTTAAGATTAAAAAAAAATGTTGGTATTGTCATAACCCAGGTACACCCGACAAGCGACTGCACAAGTCAAAACCAAAAATCAAAACTCCCGCCAAATCTAACGGAAATCTATAGCACGCGATCGTCACTTGTCCTATCACCACCACGAGAGTAGCTCTAGCGACTTCATTGATTGCGTGAAGGAAGAAGAAAGAAATAGCTTCCCCTTCCAGAAACTTTCTCTCTTGCTTTTTTTTCTAATTTGCATCTTACAATCACATTATAATAGTGTTCAACCCGTACTACACGTCGGAGAATTTTATTTCTCCCTTCATTGTGACTTTACACCCATATTTTAAATATTGTACCACTATCTTTCACCGAAATCAACTTAATTACTAAGACTAGGGCATGACCTGTCTCATTATAATATAGGGGTATCTTAAGGTTAAATAGATCAGACATAACCTCTCATTATATTTAAAGTATGTGGGGTTTTGAGATCCGTCCCATAACAGTATTCAATTAACATAAACATTGAGGAGTCATGAATAAACATTACATTTGGCATTTATGCAAAATAAGATATACTACGCCTCCACAAAACAATCAAAACCCCTGACCCATCGCACAAGCCGATCACAAACATGGTAACTGAATTTTGAAATAACCTTCCTGCGAATTGTTACTAGTTATTTATTATACGCTTTCCTTTTACGATCGAGTATAATACAAAACTTTATTCCATATTACAGACGCCAATCATTATATAGCTTCTGAAAATTCGGAATTTGATTTAGACCTCAAAAATAGCAAGCTTACGTCTCGTAGTTTCCATGAAAATATTATTGTTTTCGTTCTCCGCGTCCCATTTCTAATAAAAATGACAGATGTCATTAGAATGCACGGTCATGTGTTTCTCTTTCTATACGTGTAGAAAGTTCCATATCACAAAACCAAAAACTGTCCTACACTAGCTCATTCGCAAATTTTGGTTACATCTGCCATGTAAACGACACCCCGTTCGTGCTTCATATTTGTAAGTTGTGTAATTATGAACTAAAATGTTTTCCAGTTGGTATGATTGTTAAAAAAACTGACGTAGTATGCGGTTGAAGGCAGCTCATATGCCGCTCGTACGAAAAATACACGTTACGAATAGGATATTGCAAACTGACCAACTTGCTGAGCTTTGTTTCTCCGTCGCTCACCCGGATTTTATTTAGACACTCCGTTCTTCATTTTACCCACACAAAAAATTTATACCGACCCGCTTGAAACTTGGTCTTTTATTAATACAACCACACTTTTAACTTCCTGGAAGTTGAAATTTCGCATTACTGCCCCTGCGTCTCCGCTAACTTTAACTTTTTCTAAAATAATTTTGGTTATTTCGAAATCATCGGAAAACCTGAGCTCTAAGGCGACCGTTGCTCGTCTCCCACATTGCTCTTTCCTACAGTTGCCCCGTTGAACAATGGAACAAATGAAAATTGACGGCTCGTCTCAACCGGAAAGGTTTCCATGGATTCCGACTATTCTTATCTTAATCGGCTCTGGGTATCAAAACCCCGATACGGTTCCAACGCAATTGTGACGGCGACCTTCTATCTCAAAACCTACGCTTTTTAAACGCACCATTCTGTCACCATATACCTGTCATTACTATTCATATGAAGAGGTACATATGAAATTTTATACAACCTCAACCGTTACACAAAATCCACAAGATATCCTACATTCTATCAACACCCTGTATATTCAATTTTCAATGAAAGCTAACCAAGCCTGTGGAAAATTCCGCCCTCGCTAACTACGCAACGAAAACTACAATATGCCCTAACTTGTACTCACACCCTGTAATAATCTTCCCTTAACTTTGCCTTAACAATTGATAAATCTAACGCTGACGTCAAAACACGATAACAATTATATTCAGAACTCGCATTTCCTATAAACGTAATGAAACTTCTACGTAGGTACATGATAAAGCATTACGTATGTTCTATCTCGTGTAAAATCATTGAGTAACGTTACAAAACGTGGACGTCGAGTCGAACATTACAACTGGGGACTACGATTGAAACAAAATAAAAGTAAAACCCTTCAATTAATAGGAGGGTTATTAGAAAATAATGCTATTACGGCGACGATTTACTGTGTTCAAGATGTACTCAGGATCTTGGTTCAGTTAATGCATTAGTAGAAACCAATTTTTCGGTCTACTACCAACGCATGGATATGTGACAGTACTCAGGACTAATTGGCTACGAAAACGCGAACTCGGCTGAAATAATGGCCTGTGGTTTACAGAACCAAAATTTAAGGTTTACTTCTGGCCTCACTGGCAGCTGCAGTAAGCTTTTTACAACTACCTTAAACCAGCAGAAATGTCTGTGAAACACTTCCATGTACGAGTATATTCATGAAATGATAACATTAAAATATAAAAAAACAAAATAGGCAAGCAAAATTTAACATAATTTATATATTTATTTCCAATTACAAATAATTGCCATTAGCCGGACGCATAATTTCGCACGGCTTAATTTTAATTAATAATAATTAACGTTGGTCGGAAACATAATTTCGCAAAGGTTACATTTTAGGTACCAAAAAGTAATGAATATGAGCGCAACGCAATTCAATTAAGTAATGTCCTTCAATTATACCCCCAGTGGCTATATACCCTTCATGAAAAATGCATTCATCTCGAGGCAATTAGACCATAAGCAAGTTACGTGAATTATATAGGTTTCGTGCAAATTAGTATGTATCCAGTGCAATTAATCAATGCTAAATGAAAAGATGCTACCTTTCAGTACTGTAAGATTCAAACTTCATGAACAGTGCCCAACAATCCTGCACATTTTACTAGCTTTGCTCTGCAATCGAGTTTCTACCACTGTCCGCCTCCTTTACAACCAAAATATAAAAATGTCTTTTATTAAGTTACATACACACAATCACAGTAAAAAAAAACTAAATGGCATATTTCAAAATTAAAGTAATGCAACTTAATGGGCGAAGTTCAGTTAGTGGAGGCGACCGCCTCCAATTCTGTTCTTCCACTCAACCCATACAACACTATAGAACCAGATAAAGCTATTAGACACGCTTGAAACGTAAATTTTTCTTTCTTCTGGTATTGCTTTAGTCGCATAACCGAATTATTTGTGGGCATGATCTATATAAACATTGTGATGATTTAGGGGCATAGTAACATAAATTCCAAAATTTCCAAGGTACGTCCGGTATCTGATATTACGAACAATCTCGATAAGAATTTAATTTTAGTAATAAGAGCAATTCAGCAACCTCCCCTACAATTCCAAAGAAACTAAATTATTTAACAACTTTTGAGTTAACACCTGAAGTGATCCTGGGAACGAATAGAAAAATATATCTTGGAAACTTTCTCCTGGGTCGTAATTTGGACTCGATTAAACACAACGCTAATCATTTACAGATAAAACAGATTTATTCGACAAAGACATTCAATAAAGGTGTAAAAAAAATGACACTCTGGGCCAGGGACAAATACCACGCAACAGTCGATCGATTGAAACAAATTAATGTTTTAATTAGCCTAACATCCGGTCAACTGCGATTCTCTTTAAACTCGCTTTAATCTTGATTTCTACAACACTGATTTTGATGTTAGCTAGCTACACACACTTTTCACAGTCCGGCCTTTGTATAAAGCCCCATTCACATAGGTGGTAGTGCGGTGCCGTTGCCTTGTTGTGCGGTGCGAGTCGGTGCTGTCAAGTTGACATTTGCTTTCACAATAACCGCAAAATTGGCCCGCCTACACAAGTATGACCAATCAACGACAACAGCAACAAATATGTTATTCTATTGGTGCTTGCTAACTACCACCTATGTGAATGGGGCTTAAAAGTTTGAATTACGCATATACCCATATGACAATTCACAATGACATGTGCAGTGCAGACGAATTGCAGCCGCGTGCCGAAAGTATGTAAACTTCAAACTTTCTGCACTACAGTTAGCAAGCACCAATAGAAGCGCAACATATTTGTTGCTGTT